AAATTTGTGTCGGGTTCCCCGTTAAGATACTCGAATAAACTTGATTACTATGGCGTTATGCGTTGTAACTTACGGGTTGTCATTGTATCTCAAATTAATCCATCGCTCTTTTTTGTGTTGCACAAATTGAATTGAGCTATGCCTCATAAGCGGCCTATCCAAGTTTTCATACTTATCTTGTTTTATTCGGGAGAAGAAGAAAGAACGCAATCTTTTTTTTTAGAAAACTTCTAGCTTCTACATTTAATCATAGAAGTCATTATATTTTCCATATGTAACACAGTTTTCGTAGATTGAATGTCTCATTCCTTTAATAACGGTAGCTTCAAGTTCGAAGAGACCTTCGTTTCTCAATGTTCTCATGAGGTAAGGGTGTGGCCGCTGTTGTACTGGCCATATGCCCCCGGAGGTTTCGAATGCTAAACTTGAAGTAAGCTTTCTATTCTCAAATCAGTTTTCTCCCAGCTGTTCTCTTCACTTACAAATTTGCCGATTGGAGTTGTTTAGCAGATATCTGTACACATCAGATGTTCTCTTAACTATTACATAGTATCTTATGAGTTCTGATTGTGTTTGTTCATCTAATTTGAATCTTTTATTAAGTTCTGAATCAATTTGTTGTCCGTTAGGAAAACTGCAAGAAGATAAACGGCTTCATCGTTCCATCATTCGAAAAAAGTATATTGAAAGGACCATGAAACAGTCTTCATAATTCGCTTGGTCTTCTTTGCACAGTGATGTTTTGTTCCATCTGAAGTTTGATTGATTCTATCCATCATCATTCTGTATGCAGACTGTAACATTTTAACGACTTTTTGAAGTTTCCCTCTATTGAAGCATAGTATCTCTCAATCCCATCACCTTTTTTACAAATAGAACAACCTCCATTCCAAAGTAGCCAAAGTTAATGGTCCATAGAGAGTACCTTTGTGAGTTTTCTTTTTTTATAAATTAACATTTTGCGGTAAATGTTTCATTTTCATGTATTCGTCCTCTGTTACTCTACCTTCGATAATTTTGACAAACGAAACAACCTCGCCTTCCAAATAAATTATATCCATTTTCAGATGTTGTTTTGATCGAAAATATGCCTAGGATCAATTAAAATGACGAGAATAATTATAGCTGCGCTGTTTCTCTTAAGATCAACTCAGTCAGAGGATTTATATGATAATGGTAATACATTTGAAATTGTCAACAGCTAGATAAATAAGAGATAGGTTATACTATTCCAATGCGATGCACTGTTTTTACACAAATTTGGTACTACTATTGCTAATGTTTTGCATTTGAGGAGCAATCAATTCTTAATATTAATTTTGTGAATGTAAAAGGTGTCGCCAAATTAGATGCAATTAGTGCTTAGCACGTGTTTACGTGTGAATTTCTTTTGTTTTGCGGAAATAGCATGCTTGGTTGGAAAGATCTAATGGCTCCGGCTGTCCCCTTGTAGTTTCCGGAAGAACCAATATTAAGTGGAGAGGGATTGAGGCTTGAGCTTTATAAAAAAAATTGTAGAGTTCAAACCCTCACTTCTCGGGACAATACCACTGTATTATAGGAAAAATAGTGTTTTGAGAAAGTTTGTTAAATTCAGAGTCGACTATTACATTCATGGAGTCATGTTTGACACTTTTCGGTTTATGAATGTAGTTCTGAGTTATAATTATAATGTGTGTATGCTGTCTGTACATAAACGGAGAAGCAATTACGTTCTTCTGCGAAATTGAGGTGTCTGGTTCTGCATATTCAATTATCTGATTTTTTTCACACTCTCATAAATTATTGGAATTGTCAGTAATTGGGAATCTTGACAAGTTGACATTTTATGGCTCCACTCCATATTTGCGAAATTGAAAAGGAGCTTTTACTGTTTTTTATACTTGTTTTTAGAATACCGAGTTCCTGATGCTCCAGAAGATGTCCGTGTTCGCACTACATCGACTACCGCGACTTTGTGGTGGGAACCTCCTTCTGATGCCTCAGTTCTTGTTCGGGGATATACAGTAGCTTACGGTATAGGAGCACCTTCTCGAAGAATTGTTATCGAAGGAGCTGAAACTAATTCGTTTACTGTAACTAGATTACGTAAGCTTGTAAAATAAGGCTTTGGTATGTGAGGTTTTTCAGAGCCGAATACGTCTTATGTTTTTGCTGTTGGTGCATACAATGAAGCTGAAGGAGAAGACGGAGAGCGTGTGCTTGTGAGCGCAACAACTTTACCTGGAGGTATTGCTATATCGCTGAACCTAATTTATTCTGATTTTAGACAAGAATGAAGAAGCTCTTTGGCCTCCAACAGCCGTACGCGCGTATGTTACAGGCCCCGGAACCGTGCAAGTTGAGTGGCAAGACCCTAACCCCGATGATTCAAGTTCTAACTCTGTTTTGAATGCTGGTCAATTTCGACACTATTTGATACAGTTTCGTATTCTATATCTTAAACTTTATTACATTACATTATTTATATTATGATTATATTATTTGTAGCTATGGAATTTACCAGAGTCAGCACATGAAGAAAATGCGATCGAACTCGAGAAGTGTTAAACTAACCGGGTTAACATCCGGGAAGGAATATGAAATAGCAGTGAAAGTAGTGGGAGCGGATGGCAGAGAAAGCCCCTGGAGAATCCGCGATATAGTCCTGTTGCCGACAGGTCAGTTTGTTCAGTATTTCAAATAGCAATTTCCTTATTTATATAGATCCTGCTGAAAGTATTTCACGATATGATTGGTTTTGTGATTTTGAAAAAGATTTATGTGGTATGGAAATAGGCGATGGCATCCCTTGGTCTAGGACTCAATTAAGAATCGGCTCAGGTTTTCAAGTTTCATCAGCTCACACTGTTGACGTTCTAGGAAACTTTTCCGTGGTTATTGATCCGATGAGAGGAAATGATTATCACGCTACATTATTGTCTCCGCTGTTTCGTTTACAAAACAGTGCTGCGTTATGCTTGCAGTTCAAGTATTTCATGAAGCAAGCACAAGATGGTTCGTATTTAGAAAATTGTAGGGGGAGCGAAGGGTGGCACTCTTTATTTCTAAAGCTATTTGACCTTAATGTAATGACTTAAATAATAGGAGATATGAGAGAACACTGTGAGCCCATTATCTAGCTAAATAAGGAGAACAGCTGTAAAGTGTGTTGAATGAAGCGGTTTTTTGATCGAAAAAAATTAATTAATGTTCACAGAAAATAATCAAAAAGACATTCTTGTTCAACCTCAATTGAGCAATTAAAATTGATTCATAAAACATTCTGTGATTTCTTCTTCAGCTTCTGCATCCTTACATATTGGATTGCGCAATGACAAAAAAGGATCTCAACGCTCTGTGCTGCGTATACCTGCTACACAATTACCAACAGATACATGGTCTGAGATCACGATTCCAATTAGACAACAGAAACACCCTTTCAAAGTAATCAATAGAACAAGAGATGATCAACAGCTTTCGTTTCTAGATTTTTTTCGAGTTATCATGGAAGGAGGAAGGTCCTTGGTTATCCTTGGATAACATTCAACTATCTAGCGGGTTCTGTCCAACGCATGAAAATTCCATTAAATTCAACGACAACGCCGGTCAGTCTTTTTAACATTTTGAAAGTCTGTGAGACAATCGCGAAGAAAATTCAAAGTTGTTACGTTAGTGCCAAGAATATTTCTTGATCATGAAGGACTGGCAGCAACTAAACAATAGAATTGAGGCACTTGGGTCATCTGCGGATGAACTGAATGTTGAAGAGAGACTAGATTCATGAGGAGATGGCTGGACAACAGCAGGTCCTTTATCTCCCTGATTCACGAGAACTTTATCCAACTTTCAATTAATTGTTCCTTCTGCCGTCTATTAGGAATAACTTTCGCTTTTGTCCTACACAAATGTCGTGAGCAATTCAACAACATGTTGGGCTTTTCGACAAAATGATATGTAAATGAGTAGTGAGAGAACAAAAAAAACCCTTTTCAATTATCTCCCCTATACCTCTTGAAGCTGAATTAGTTTCTTCTCCGAAAAATATTCTATAAGAGGAGTGCTATGCAAATTTGTTGTGAACAGCGGTTTCTTAGAGAAAGGTTGTAAATGTCTGAACATAGGACTGCTTTTGTTCAGTTTCCTATTATCTATTGCCCGATATATTCATATAGGAGTTCCATTATATCATACTAACGCATGCTGTTTTGATGTTTCAATTGTGAGAGCGATTTGCTTTATCCTTGCTTCTTCATTTTTTTGAACTTCCAATTACTCTTTTTCATACAATACATAAAATTCACTTTTTGAATGATTTGTCAAAATGTATCCCATAAGTATAACTGATAGCTGTTGCCATCATCTGTCGTAGCTGTGGGTCGCATCAAGCTCCGCCTTTCAAAACCAGTGGCGCGACTCCGCCTCATTTGTCGAACGCGAGCCAATGCTCAACTTAACCTCTTACCAACTTTTTAACCTTCTCTGCTTCTTTCCGTTTTTCTTCATAACTTTTCTTTTCTTTTCTTGGAAACTGCTATAACTTATCAAAGGTAACGCTCAATGAATAACAGTTTGACATGGTGCCCATCCGTATGCTTCAATTACAACTAGCTCTTATTTTTTTCCTGCAAGTAATAAGCGAATCTGTTCCATCATATTTCGACGTCAACCATCTTCCAGGAGGTTTGAATTTTTCTGTACAAGTTATAATTTTTACTTCGTTTTCTTTTGTTTCTATGGAGAATTCTTTCTACTTTGTGATTCTTCCGCTGCTTTTAGTCTCACCTTTACGATTCTGCTTAACAACCAGAAACTGCAAGTGTCAAGAATGTTTAAGGATCAAGCGCAAATCATTTATGCAAATTAGTTGCGCATACCTGTTCAGTTTTAATTTTTGGTGTATGAAGCACGGGATACGGTTGTTCCTCTAGGCCCACATTTTTTTCCATCCTGACAATAATGCTCATGTTTGTAGCAGGAGTCATTATTTTCTCTATTCGAAACTGCGAACAGTATAATTTTTTTTGCTATCTCAGACAGAGACTTTCATTAATTATAGTTAAAAAGAACGGGTGACAGAACGGCGACAGTCGGAAGTGAGATCTTTCTTCTGAAGTTTTGCCGCTCTTTACTGTCCTTGCGTAATTGATGAATGGTATACTATTTGTAATTGTAGAAAGAAACGAATCAAGAGGAGCTCAAAAGTTTTGAGAGAGAAAAAATCAGAAAACGTTATTGTATTGAAATGTTTCTAAAATTATAGTTCGTCGCCTAGTTTGAGCCCATCTCGCTATGGAGGAGCATAGCTCTTCTTTCTTGTGCTCTTCTCGCTTCTTTCTTTTTTCGCCTGATAAGTGTTTTCTCTAGGGAAGCTAAGTTTCTAGTCTTCCGAGTAGAACAAAGATGGGAATCTCTAGCTTTTTATGCTGAGAACTAATTTGAGTTTAATAATGACAATACATGTTAGTTAGCATTATAAAAAAATTTCGAGTTTTGTTTTTCAACAAAACGATCATATATGCATTAGAAGGCTTTTCTTCTGACTTCATGTATCATACTAATCTTTGTCTTAATAGTGAAGCTGCCAGGCAAAAGAGGTCATACGAGTCAAAAAGATTGCTGAAGGATTAAATGCTCTATAGCTTCTTCTGTCGCTTGCATATGAAATTTCTTTCTAAAGCTAGCATTATAATTCTTTCATAAAATCTTTCTTCAAAATCTGAAGAGTTCGCCTAGGCTTGATTCAACCTGAACAATAACAAAGTTTATTGTAAAAGACCCATTTGTATAGTTCGTAATGCTTATTCGGTCAATTTCTTGTCTTCCAGGTCATTTATGGATGAGAATAATCTGTCTCTTGGGAATGTAGTTGAAATGAGAGATCCCTCCGAGGCATTCTTAGAGAAACTTGGCGTTAGCATCATTCTTTTGTTAGTATTAGATATGTTTCCCTTTCTGAGGTAGTTTAAAGGTAATTGAACAAGTTCATTTATCACTTGTTCTTGGGAAGCTTCAACTTTCTTTATAATGATGGTCATTGGAGTATTATAAAACGGACCATTTGTAAATGGACCAACAGCATTTCGACCGAATGAGCCTTTGAAAGAATGGACATGCTAAAAATGCTTGTTGCTGTTCGATAACGAACAAGATAATGTGTCTCCTGAGATGAACTGCTCAAGTGAGAGAGTGTTAAATAAATGAGAGGTAGCAAGCAGGAGAGGCTGCAAGTGAAAAATGGAAATAAAACTATGGCGAATCTCCAAAAAAAGCTGCGAGACAGAAAATGATCCGCTCTATTATGAAGTAGGAAGATTAATAGAGAGCAAGCCGAGCGGCACCAAATGGAACAAGAGAAGATTCCTTTAAAAAAATGCTTTCAAAATCTCTTGAGATGAGATGGATAAGATGATGTCTTTTTTTATTGCCTCAAATCATAGCAAGCAAAGCATATTAGAGAACATTATTGAAGAAGTTTCTTGAAGCTCTACTGAAATTATAAGTTTGAAAGTTGAATAGCAACAAATATTTTACTATCCATAAACAATGAAATCACGTTCACGCGTGCCTTCATTTTGCAGACATCAGAACAATGCAGCGGTTGTTCCGCTGCTTCGTCCGAAGTTTCAAGCTCTACTTCTAAATATAAATTTCAGATGAGGAAACGGAAGTAGATCTGCTGGTGCCTGTTGAGGGAACTTTAAACAGTGATCCCAGAGTCTTCAGGGCCAAGGGAATTGATGGATTGCCAGCTATTGGCATACAGGTTAGAATCTTTAGTGTTTTAGCTTCATATCAGTTCTATAGAGAGGAGTGGAGATCGCTGTGCCTTATAGACTGTATATGCCCAAAAAATTTTTCCCAGAGTTCTCTATTCTTATTTCCGTAAGTTACAAAGGTTGAACAGAAGCAGTTATACCTGTAGGTTAAACCAATGGATAGGCGAGGTGGATACTTGTTCGCAATCGTGAATCCCTATGATACATCTGTAGACGTTGGTGTTTTATTAGAGCCTTCAGGTTATATTCCTCCATTGTATCATGAAAACAATTGATGAAATTTTCAGCTAGTGGGCAGACAAATGTTTCTCTGATATATCAGGATCAACTTTCGGGTCAATCAGCTGCAATAGCTTCTTTTGAAGTCCCTGAGTTTATCCAGCAATGGACTCAATTAGCTTTCGAAGTCACTAAAAGTCATATAACTCTTTACTTCAAATGTATTCGCTACGCAGCGAAACAGGTGAACGACTGAGTCATATAGTTTAAATTCTGTTTTTAAGGTATACTCACTGAGTGAATTGTCTATGGATGATGCGCACAAGTTATATATTGGAAGCGCAGGCCCCATATTAGGATTAGGCTTCGAGGTGAGCATCATTATAATTGTTTATTTTTACGGGCAGTGTACTCATCATAAAATAGGATTGGGTAGGGATCAAATTATCAATGTAGTGTCTATCTCAATGTACAGAAGGTGTCGAGTTAACCTTGCGCGCTAAGAATTTATATTCTCAACTTTTTCATCAGTTAAAAAGAATATCCAGAAAGATATTTCTTTTGTGAACTAAGCAGCTGGTGATGAAGTGACGGAATTAAATCTGTATCATCAAACGGAAATCCGTAGAACCGTTCATACAGCTCGTTTCCCAAAAAAAGATTTTTTAGGGTAAAGTCTTCCTTTGTCTTTTTGCGGCTTTCCTCTGTTCCTTTTTTTGTCGTCATCATATTCCAGAATTTTTTTCGACATTGAATTTTGGAATTGAATTCTCAGTATTAAGATACAGTAGAGGATAATGCATATGTTATCAGAAAGTAACATCATACAACATATCTTCAAAATCCATAAGTTTAGAACACAATGTTTTATTTCATTGCGAGTTCCGATTTGATTCTCTCTCGATTTGCTATAGCATATTCTTTTGTTTTTCTTAGCTATCTAATTGTTTCGAACGTTGAATTGTCTCTGTAATGCTATGAAGAAGATGAGCAAGTAGTTGGAATCGGAATCCTTATCTACCCTTACTATCAGCACAGTCCTTTCTCTGACTCAGATTTCTGCTTCTCCTGAAATTGCGTTTTATCTCGAAAGCATTTTCTACCTTCTTCAGGCTTCAATGAAGTTGCAAATGCTCCACAATGCTTTCATACAAACTAACATCTGTTTTCGTCGCATTTGTGAAATCTTGAAAATTTCAAAAAACTTCTAAACACAGAAACGTTGTTTATTTAAATTTTCTATTATAATTTCTAAATCTAAATTTTATTATAAGCTATCGCAAGCCCACATGAGTCTCGCAACATTCAAGTCTGTAGAGTCATTTCTTTACTGTTTTCCATTTGTAATGAAATTTTTGGGATGAAAATAAAAAAATGAATAACAAAGCTTAATTTCCGCCTTTTACCTTTCGATTTACAAATGTCAGCGGAAATGTCTTACAGTCGTCTGATGTATTAAAGTTTGCTTCCATTCCTTAATCATTTCCGTTTTTGTTTCTGGCATTTTTAAAGTTTGATTGGAGAAGACCGGTGCTTTTCTTATAATTTCTTTAGTTTTTTTTGCCCAACAAATCATTTCGAGTCTATTCTTATTGTCTTTCTTTCATCTTTATGTTTCTTGTATACAACTGAAGCCTGATAAGATGGACAATAGAAATGTGCATAAAATCAGTAATTATTGCTCTTGTTTTCTATTCATCTTTGTCACAACTCTCAACTATCCAAATGACTCATCTCTAAGTTATGAGAATGGATCCAACCAAAACTTGGCGATATCCTTGACGCCTACTCCCCGCTCATACTTCTTTTTTTCATCTTTCAAAACTATTAAATCCAATTTCATCATGTTTCACCAGCGTCTTCTGATATCAGATCTCCGTTTCGAATAATATTAAAGTTATTTTTATTACAGTATCAATAAATGGTTCGTCCAAGACTATTGTTTTGGGTGTGCACATTTCTGTTACTAGGCGCAGGATTACCCCTAGCTTTATGCGAACCCAAACTTGATAGTGTTCTATGGGAGGAAGGTCTCATAAGACAAGGGAAATCTTCTGTGAACAAAGTCTCTGAATCGTCCGATGATGACTATTTAACGTCTCAACTTCCAACTATTAGTAAATCTACTGTTGAAAATATAACACCTAATCCAATCTCTCTCGCAAAAAGAAAATTGGATATTCCCAGTGATAGAAGTATAATTTCTCCTAAGAACAATCCTGGACGCCAGCAGTTGAGCAGACCAAAAAGAGATGTCGACATGACAATAGAGAAATTTATCGTTGAAAAGCCAGATGGTCGTATAGTACAAGTAGCAGTGCCAGTTGATGAAGTTGTTCGCTCTCCCAGATCCTCTAGAGAAGAAGATGTGCTGATGGGATCAGCTGATTTCCCTTATTTTGAACCTATTGAAGTAGTAGATGATGAGTACACGAGTTCGGAAAAAATAATTGAGGTTGGTTTACGTTTTGAATTTTAGGGTGCTATACAAGAGTTAAAAATTATTGATGATGCTTCCGAAGCTGCAAAACAATGTGATGAACTATGGGTAGGCGAAATTATAAGTCATACTTGAAAAGAAGAAGAAAGAGAGATTTTTGATTCTAAGAATGAGAAAGTAGGGATACTTTCGAACGTGTGAAATTTGAAAGAAAAAAAGTTATGTTGCATATCATTATTATATCCATGCAGTGGCGGCGTCGAAAAACGCTGAAAGCTAAAGCAAAAGCGAAGGTATGTTTCTAATGGTTGCAAATGATATTGCTGTCTGTATAGTATTTTAAAATGGTTGAATGTAGTGTTATTTACCTTTCATGCTATAATGTCTTGTGATATTACCCGCGCTTTTGGTTCATTGGCTTCTTCTCGAATCTCATATGTATCTGATAGTTTGTTTTTAGGGCGATGAAGGATCCGGCAATCCAGAGCATGTTAAGGATCAACAAAAAATTGGTATGCGAGTAATAATTCGTGTGCTTAATGTACAACCTTATTTCTAGAGGGTGGAGAGGATGAATCTCCTTATTCCACTATTCCGCCTCCACCACCTATTCCTCCCGTGTTCCAAATGACGGATAGACACACGCCAAATGGTATGTGGGGTTTATTCAAAGCAAAGTTATTACGGAAAACATAATTTACAACTGTCATAATCAAGCACTTCACTGGTTTTTAGATAGAGATTCAAGAGATTTATGGGCTGGTATACGTGATGATAGGCTACTCGTACCTTATCACAGAAAAACATCAGAAATATTTGCACCTCTAGGTTTTGGCACGAAAAATAGAAAGTTTGCAGTGAACATTAGAAGTTTGAGTGAACTCTTAAAGACACTATGTCTTATCTGAATTTCTAAAGCTTTCTTGATTTTTTTTTTGAATAATTCTTTATGATGATAACTCCAGTTTGGCCCTTGTTCAAGTTTGGCTGATATAGTAAACTGTTTTCTAGAGAAAAAAAAACAGCATATTGTGTCATGTCTATGTGTTTTCCAGAAGCATCTATGGCTCATTTGAAAGGAGAACGAGGAGAACCCGGACCACCTGGCGTAGTATGTGTACTCATGTCTGTAGTTGGACTTGAATTTTTTTCAGTGTGAGCGACACTGTCGAGATGGAATACCCGGCGCTCCAGGTTTACAAGGTCCTATGGGAATACAAGGTGAAAAAATAAATGCTTCGCTTCATAATTTTTTTTATAAATATTCAGGTCCACCAGGTCCACCCGGCCCTCCGGGATCTTCTGTTGTTTCATCACGTTTTGAAGGAGGCGTACCATCTGTGACAGGTCCGGCAGGTCCACCCGGGCCGGAAGGTCCTCAGGGACAACAAGGACCCCAGGGACCACAAGGTATTATAGAAAAAAAAAGCTTATCTTATCTCAACAAAAACATAGGACCAAGGGGTGAAGCTGGGCTACCTGGGTTACCCGGGTTACCCGGCAGAGATGGACACAGCTTCGAAGGGCTAACAGAAAAAGATATTGAGAAAATAGTGAAACACTCAGCGTTCCAGGTATGATTTTCTTCATTCATTGCACGACAATAAATCTGATTAAGGGACAAAAAAGCTTTGACTCTTCCTATAACAAATACGACTTAGAAGAATTGCCCGCATATGATAGTGCCAAACATCGAACAACACTAAAAGGAGAGAAGGGAGAACGAGGAGAGCGAGGACCTGCGGGACCTCCTGGTCCTCCAGGTATTATTTCTTCATCAGGAGGAATGCCTTCAGGTATAAGATGAACCATTTTTGACATAATTCTCTCATATTCAGGAAGTGGGAGTGTTGTAGGAACATATCCTACAACTGTGGAGTTGTTTGCTTCTGCTCGCTCAGCAGAGATAGGAACTTTAGCTTTTGCTACTTCCACCCAACAGTTGTATATTAAAGTTTATAATGGTTGGAAAGAGGTTTTGGTGAGTGAAATTCGGGGTTCGCTTAAATCTCTTCTCTTTCAGTTAGGTCACTTCCATCCTATAATTGAACAACGCAAAAGTCAGGTAAATGGATTATAAATTGTTTTCGCTTTTAACGCTTCCTTTAACAAATAAGATTTTTCTATTAGCTTTTTTCTCTCACTTTTGTGTGTTTCTGTTCTAACAACCGCATGTATTTAGCCGATTGAGCCAGATCCTGATTTTAAACCAAATCATTTGGAGTACTGGGTAAGATATGAATATTGTGTCTTGAATATCGTGCATTCATTGTGTTATGAAGGAAAACTAGCAAAGTATTTCTTTCTACGAACCTGAAATACTTATATTTATAAATCGTAATTTATCAGCGTGATCAAGAAGTCCTCGCTAAACATCCGCCATGCTTTCGACGCTCTCTAACCACAACGGTTGGTATAACCTTCAGAAGCCTACGTGAACGTAGTTTAGAAGGAATTGTCACCGAGTTCTGATTATCAGAAAGACCGTCGTTCTTCTTCCCAAAATCTCCCGCTCATTATAAATATGTTTTTTTAAGTGAAAGGGGAGAAGACTGATGATCTATTCTAGACATTCCTTTCGTCACAGTTCAGTTCTCAGCACACGTGATGTCACTAAATGGGATTGATTTTCACCTCGGTTTCGTAGAAGATGCTTTCTCTCCTCTGCATTTTTTTTTTCATCTCAGCTTCTTTGAGTTCATTTTGATTTTGCCCGAAACCAATGTTTAATTTTTTGCCTGATTTTTGTGTAGTGCGACACCTCTCTTTTTCTACATTAATAACTCATAAAAATGTTTTAAGGAATCACCACCTGTAGCAATAGGGCAGCCATTGTCGCATTCGTACTACCATGCCGATGGTTCGGTTCCTCAACAAGCATCCACAAGTATTCATGCCCTACCATCTTTCCATCCTCAACATAAAGACCGAGCTGTGAGTTTTCATACATGACAAAGTTCTCACGATGCTTAAAGATTCACCTAATTGCTCTGAATATGCCTCTCGATGGAAGTATGCACGGTATTCGGGGAGCAGATAATCTCTGTTACCATGAATCTAGGCGAGCCGGTTTCACGACAACCTTCCGAGCTTTGCTTTCCCATAATGTTCAAGTCAGATAGTAATATATATATTCTTCACGACACGGTTTGCTTTTTAGGATGTATTAAGAATTGTTCACTCTGTTGATATGGATACGCCACTGGTCAATTTGAATGGTGAACGTTTGTACAGTTCATGGAGAGTATTGCTCAATGACGGGCAACGTAGCTCTGCTCCAATATACTCTTTTAACCGTCGAAATGTGCTCACTGATGATAACTGGCCTGATAAGAGAGTTTGGCACGGCTCACTTGCCGGAGGAATACGAGGAAGTGATTTCTGTGATGGGTGGAGAAGAAATCAAGGTTTCACACATAGTGTAGTTTAAATTGTTATACCCAAGTTTTAGAATCATTTACGGCCGCTGCAGGGGATTTACGTCAGTCAGCAGGACTTTTCTCGCAAAGTGAACCCGTACCTTGTGCTCAAAAGCTTGTTGTACTATGTGTTGAGGTAATGCCAATTCGCTAAATAGTGAGCTCAATGTATTGTTAAGAATATGTCGAAATATCATGGAGACAAGCTGCTTCTGAAGAAACGACCAGATCCTTCCTTCTGGTAATCTCTACCGCTCTGGTTTCCTTTTAATTTTTGCTTGATTTTTCGAACATACGATCTCCCTTCTCAAGGGACAGTTAATATTATTTTGGGTCTTTCTCGTAAAATTTCTGAAGACTTGAAATAAAGTCTTCCATTCTTGCTTTAGTTCATGTCCGGTGAACCAGCTAACGAATTGTCACATTGTCACTTACCTTCTAAGATTTTCGCTTGTTGTAACAGTATTAATCTGCATCATAAATTAATAAGAAAAAATAAAATATTTGATTTCTTTGTTTTTATTTTGACTCATAAGTCTTCCAAAGGTTCACATATCTTGAAAATGTAAACTGATCACACGAATGTGTTCTTTCTGCCCGAGTAATGCTTTAACATAGCTTCCCGCAAATATTGATTTTTCAAATTTCACTGTCGTTTTATTGATTTGTTTTACTGTTGCTCGTACGAGGTTCTGTGCATTGTGATTATTTGAATAATTTATTGATTGTTTATCCTTTTTGGCTTTCTCGTAGGTTTGCTGCACGTGCAAAATGCAGCTTTGTACGAAATCTCTGCGCTCGATTGACAGCCCCGCCTCTTTGAAATTCAAAACATGAGTTTGTACAAGTACATCATATAAGTCCTTCTTTTATTAAAAGTACTGAAGTTTGTTGCAATTTTCAACGCATTCAAACCCTACTGCAAATTTTCAATCAATACTATGTGTTTGCAATGTATGCTAAAGATATTTATCGATTTTCGCGCGTTGTGTTTAATTCTTTTGTTCCTGCAAAATGCATACTTCACTTTCTACTAGTTTCAAAAGCTTCATTTGTTCCATGAACTGCTCAGGAACATAATGGAAAAGTGATATTGATAAGTTTGACTTTTTGTAGAATGTCAGCGACAATCAGTGTCAATATTATGAGTACAAAACCCCTGGATACTCGGACATTTAGAGTATCGGAAAGGTACGTTTCTAAGTTCATTGAAAATATGAGAGTTTTTAATTGAAGGCTACGGCAACGTAAGCAAAAAGCTATAACGAGTGAAGATTCCAACTATGACGATGGTCGCGAAGCAATTTCCGATGATGATGACGACTATAACTATAACAATGATGAACGAGATGAAGAAGATTCTTTCAATTTAGATGATGATGATGATGATGATATACAAATAATTGAAAGCCACGTAAACTATAACTTATACTACCATTCAACTTCTTATTTTCAAGAGTACTCCTCCTGTTCTCAAACAGTTTGTTGATGATCACCTGCCTCCCTTAACATTTCCTGATGTTAACAAGTTGAGAGTGGCTTAGAGTGAATACTAAGTTATTCGTTTCAGTGACTTCAAACCGTCTATTCCCGAAGTTGAAGCATTAAAGCCCGAAATAAAAGCAGTGGTAATACATAATTGAAATTGTAAACTTTCAAAATGTTGGAATTAAGTCTGTGCATATTCCACTTCCTGGATCAGAGCTAGTCGGAGCATCGATTTCTTCCTCAAATCAGTCTCAGTTCGATTCATTCGTTATAACAGTTCCTCAAGCTACACTAAAGTCGAAAACGTCGGATATCACGGATTCAAATGATATACGATTAAGAGTACGTTTCATCCACATTTGTTAGAAATTTGGAAGAATCATTCAGTGTCATCATCCGAAGTGCGACAAACTAGTTAGAGGCAATTACGCTTATATAAATCATATATGGGCTCACTTTGCAGTTGAGTCCTGTTCTTTTAGGAGCTTTTCTAATTGTAATTCTGGTAAAGACCTTCCGTTTGTTGAATTCACTAATGTATTTCTGTAGGGCGAAGATCGAATCCTACTCCCGACAAGTTGGATTTTCGAGGAACCTGCCCTTATTGCTTCTTGAAGTATGAAACACCTTTCTTTCTTCAGGTGAATCGACTCCGGTAAAGTATACACATAGCTCGGTTTTAGCGACACATATCAACGACTCATACTATCTCGTCAGAAGTGATAGCTGCTACTATTTGCTCCATCTGTGATGTGGAAGTAATAATTTCTGCACAGAACAACTTTCCTGACTTATATCCTTCTAGGTGGATTCAGACCCGAAAAAGTTGATAAGACATATGAGACTTGTACATAATAAGAGAGAAGCCCCTTACAACTGTAAACTATGCTTTTTCGGGGCAGGAGAGAAATGCGAAATGTGGAAGCATTTTTTAACGAAACATACAAATTCTCAGTGAGTATTCTATACTTTTAATGTTTCCGAATATCTCCTTGCAGTGCTCTTATGTGTCCTATTTGTATCGAGATTTTCGTGATTCCTAGTAATAAGAAACGAAATATGGAGAATAGTGGTAGAGAATTTTATGAACACTTTCTTTCTCATATAACAGGTATAGGAGGTTATATTCATCCGTGGTATATGGTTTTCAGAAAATCAAAATGATTGTTCTGAGTGTCCTTGCTTCTTTTCTAATCCTTCTTCTGCTCATGATCATCACGTTAGAGCGCATTCAACTGATTTGAGAATGAAGTGGGCTATCAGACACGTATGTTCATGTTGAAGCTCAAATCAAACCAAAAATTGCAGAGGAATGACGAGTTACGAAACAACGTAAGAAGCCAAATACAACGGGTTTTCTTCTCCGGGAATGATTGTCCTCGATGTACTACGTTAAATGCTAAAACACAAATCAAAGAATATACTCCACGATGTATTAATTGTATAACTAATTATATTAAAAGCCATTGCCGAGGTTAGTTATTGAGTTTCAACTAGTTCAATAATTTATTCCACTGCAGCTTCGAACTATTATATTGATAGGAGATATTCTGTAGATTATGTGTATAGGTGTAATTGTGGGTATGTTTCTCGGGACGTTAGAGATACGGCTATTCATTCTCGAGTTCACGAGCATCTCCAAATACAGGTTGTCCTTCTTAGTAATCAGTTTCCTATTTAAAACTTCAGATAGAGTATAATCCCATAGCCCAATCAGCTCAAACTGAGGAACAAAGAAAAGCAGATGATTTCGAACTAGACTTGTTTCAAATTGTTCACCGTCCTCTGAAAGTTATGAAACGGGTATCGAAATTCGAAACATGACGAACTCATTTCTTCTTTTTCAGCGTTCTCTCGATTCGAGCGAAGATGTTATTCATGAAATCCGGAAACGCGTCGAAAGCATTCAAGTAGAGGAGAATATTGATGATTTACCACGACTAAATCAGTGAGACGGGCTGCAATCAGCACCTATATTAAACTTCTGTTCTAGATCCTCTGCTGCCGAAGATTTTGATATTCTGATGCAGGCATATGACTTCTGGATGTCGGAAGAGTTAAGAAATAACCGGAAAAGAAAGTTCGTAAGCCAGAATCTAACGGACTCGAGGAAAAACGTTGTTAAAGAAGAGGTATATTTTTCACGGAGCAATCTTAGTGTCAATTCAAATGCAGAACTCTGAGGAATTCAGTAGACCACGGAGATTAACTCGACAATCTACAAGAAGTCAAATTTCTCCTCCAAGTTTGACACCTCTCGCTTCTTCTACTGGTAACCTTTGCCGGGACGATAAATCGTCATCTCCGGAAATAATTGTGCTCGATGATTGAATCACTTAAAACTGTTTGTTTGCCATATAATGTTTCTGTTGCTGATTTTTACTTACACTCGTCATTACAGGTACTTAAAAAATTTGTATATTTTTTGTTGTTTTCAAATGAATGTTAGCTCAAGTCTATGAAATACTTTTATACAGGACCACAATATCGATGCGGAGGATAGAATAGAAAAATCAAAGCAGAGATAAAGAGTATGAAGATCATCAAATAAATGAAATCAGCTATTGAAACACTCGATGTAGCGTGGCTGGGCGAATGGCAACAGGAGAGATGAGAAGTGGATTGCTCTACTTGAGATCGGCTACCATTGAGCTGGTCAAGATCCAATTTGGGGATACGGATAGCCCGAGATCTTTGTCTAGGTGTTGTGATGAATGAGTTTGTAATAGGTGATTGTGAGCAAGTGTCCTGCAAACTCGGATGTTCTCGACGTTTAATAAATGACTCATACCCTAACAACGCGATAAACTTCTAAAATATCAGCGTCCGTTTTAGCAGGAAGAGCCAACGTTTCTATCTTTCGCGTTACCTGAATGATTAATGTTAAATATGCTCCATTTTGAACACGATTAACATCATATCCTTGTTCAAACTCCTCAACAATTGTGAGTGAACGATTCAAAAAATCTTCAACCTCGTTGTCATTGGCCATTGTTCACATTTTCCTGAAAAAAAAGGCTTGATGCAGATTCACAAATTAATGATAATAATAAAAAAGTGAAAGAGGGCGCGATTATTTGGCTTCAGTGCATGGACCATTACATATACCTCACGCGGCGTCATAACCAAACAAGGTGCGGGCGCTGGTCGCATTAACCGTCTATTCTTTCTTACGCATTCTCCCCCAAAACCGCGCAATAGTTATTAAAGTTTATTATTATTTTAAAGAGGCAGTTTCAGCTTGTATTATGACTTCCCTACCTCCAAGACCAACTCCAAAGCCCGGTAGAGTTAAAGTCTATCGTGCCTTGTATGATTACGTTGCCCGATCGGTACATAAAGTTCATAAGGATTCAAATAAGTTTATCATTGAAGACACAGGAAATGTCCTTCAATGAAGGAGATCTATTATATGTTAGTGATAAAGGACCAAACGAAGACTGGTTACCAGCAACATGCGGAGGGAAAAAAGGCTTAGTTCCCGCAAACTATGGTAAATTGAAGTAGTGCGATTTTTATTATCTTGTTTTAGTTGTTAGCGAAAACGTGGAAGAGTTACCTAACCCATTACATGATGCAGCTAAAAGAGGGAATTTACAGTTCCTTGAAGAATGTTTAGCTAATGAGGCAGATAAAAACGAAATGTAGCAAAATATTATATTCTTTGAAGGTTTCTGTGAATAGCCTGGACAAATCGGGATCGACAGCATTATTTTGGGCTTGTCACGGCGGGCACGAACACATAATCACTTTGCTTCTTCAGTGCCCACAAATATCCATTTCATCACAAGTTCGTGTTTATCATATTCATGAACACTCACTGCGTACAAAACGCGCGAAATTGAGTGAACAAAGACACAATCGATAACTCATAAATTAATTTTACTCAAGAACAAAATGGGAGATACCCCATTGCATGCCGCCTCTTGGAGAGGTCACAAGGGTTGTGTGGATATGCTGTTGGAGAGAGAAGCGAACGTATGGATACGTAACCAAGATAAAAAACTTCCATTGGACGTTGCTAAGGTCTACTCAAATTTTTTAATTTGATCTTATCTTTTTTTCAGGATGCTGATGTAGCCGCATCGATTTCGAGACGGATGAAAATAGATACGAATAATGTTGATGAGGAGAATGACTACGGATCCAGCTCTGATGAGAATTAATTGTTTAGTTACGGATTGTGTAAATACGATATGATCAAAATATTAAAATTTATTCTACAAAACGAATGACAACCATCCGAGGATCAGCATGATACCTCCAAAAGGGGTCAAAGCCTTCACTGTATCTGATCCCTGTATGGCGTAGTGATAGCAGGGACCACAGAACAAAAGCATTCCACCTGTTTCAAAATTTTGTTCAAATAGTTTGACTAGAACTTACAAGCGAACAATGAAGCGGTTGCAATAGGGTACTTGGCTTTGGGAGCTGCTAGAATAGCTAGAGTGTGGAAGAAATGATACTTTGATGATGTTTTTAAAGAACGCTTCCTTTCTTTCGGTACTGATGGTGATCTCAGGACAACTGAAAATGAGTATAACAAACAATCGACTACTCAGGATGTGAAATAACCATGTGATCCATATGCTCCCAAGCCTACGGCTAAAGCTCCTGAAACTCCAGCAATGCGAACCACGTAGGACATTGCAGGTTTATAAATAACTGGAGGTGGTAGAGGGACAGTTTTTGAGAACGATACAGGTATATAGTCAAGGATACCCTTTAAAGCTTCTAGCTGAGCAAGCATGACTAATCAGCCGCCCAATCTCTCACAATCAATATGAATATTATTTTCCAACGCTCATAACTTTGACATGTGATGACCCTTACAAGATTTAACTTTCGCGGGCTAAAGTTGATGCGCAAGGTAGAATACTGCTAGGCAGACCTTTTGCTAAGGGGTCTTAGCATTGCGTTGGAGGGGCAGCCAAACAGTGTGACAACTTGGCCTCTCCCTCATATTTTTTTGAACGATTCCAGTCTGTGATGTGACTCTTTCTTCGCCAATGCTGCGTCGTGTTATAATTTTATTAAATTACTTCTCTAAACTTTTTTTCTTGAATTTTTGGATCCTTTTGTGTTGTAAATTACATATTTTTTTAAAGGTAACTACTCTTCTCGCTCTTTACCATGGGAAAGGAAAAGATTCATATCAACATTGTTGTCATCGGACACGTCGACTCTGGAAAGTCTACCACTACCGGACATCTCATCTACAAATGTGGAGGAATTGACAAGAGAACCATCGAAAAGTTCGAGAAGGAAGCCCAAGAAGTAAAACATTTTTCATCTTTGATAGTATAATTCAAAAAATTCAGATGGGTAAAGGTTCCTTCAAGTACGCTTGGGTACTCGATAAGCTGAAGGCTGAGCGTGAACGTGGTATCACCATCGATATTGCTCTCTGGAAGTTCGAAACTGCCAAGTACTACATCACCATCATCGATGCCCCAGGACATCGTGATTTCATCAAGAACATGATCACTGGTACTTCCCAAGCCGATTGCGCCGTCCTCGTTGTTGCTTGCGGTACTGGAGAATTCGAAGCTGGAATCTCTAAGAACGGACAAACTCGTGAACACGCTCTTCTCGCCCAAACTCTTGGAGTAAAGCAACTTATTGTTGCCTGCAACAAGATGGACTCCACCGAGCCACCATTCTCTGAGGCCCGTTTCACCGAAATCGTCAATGAAGTCAAGTCCTTCATCAAGAAGATCGGATACAACCCAGCTGTAAGTTCTAATCCTGATAACATAACTAACTAATATTATTCAGACTGTTGCCTTTGTCCCAATCTCTGGATTCAACGGTGATAACATGCTCGAAGTCTCCACCAACATGCCATGGTTCAAGGGATGGGCTATTG